CTTATATCATTTCAAATCCTAAAAGACTGTGAGTTGTAGAACATTACAACAAGAACATGGGAACATGGGAGATCATCCCTTCATTTTACATATAAGAGACTAGCCCAAATAATTATGTGGACAAAACCATACAGAAAGTGAGAGGTTGAACCAGGGCAGATTTCTTCCCATAATTATTAATGGTTTTCTTTCCACTGTGATGGCTGGGGCCAGGAGAGGGTGAAAGATAGGGTTGTCAGTGACTCACAGATAATGAATCCTTAAAAAGTAGTTAAACGCCAGAGAAATGATGGAGAGTCTTTGTAGATTTTAGGAGGAAGGTGATTTGTGTTAAAACATCACACCAGCTTTTGGTGGCAAATGGATTGAAGAAAGGTTCAAATGGAGGCCATAGGCTTTTAAAAATTCTTGGAATAATCAGTTGAGAAATGCTGAGAGTGACAGATGTGGCTTGACTGTAAACTAGCCTAAATCTGCCTACTTCATCTGTGGATAAACTTACAACATGATAATAGTTCACACGTATTTTCTGCATGCATACAAACACATAAAACAACTATGAATAATTGGTACAGTGTGGTATGTGGTAATGAAATATGCGCAGAAGCAACAAGTTCAATTAAAAAAGAGTTTTAAAGTTAGAAGTTTTGAACCCTAGCTTATTGACCTATTAACTGTTTACGTTTGCCAGGTCAGATTTGCCAATTGTGCCATCTAGGTCCACTTTTCAAACCTGAATGTGAAGTTCTCTAGGGTCAATTTTAATTTTTTTTTCAATTTTAATTTTAATCCTTATAAGCTTCTAGTAAAAAACTTGAGAATAATTTATAAAAATCCTTGTTGCCGCCCATGAATGGCCTGGGCACACTTCAGCTCAGTCATTTCTGCATCTGTTTTATTTTGTTTGTTTTTCTTTTCTCTCCCACACTAATACTCATTTGTTTACATCACGTGTAAACTCCTGGAAAAAGCAGTGACATTTCTTTCTGGTTATGGTAGTTTTTTGTTGTTTTTTAAATAGAAATGAGCAAAATTTACATTTTTTTGTTTTAGATAATACTTAAATATTAAGAAAGCCAAAATTTTAAAATTCAAAATGTGTTGGTTAGGTTTTTCTAAACATTATATTTATATAATGATTCTGATTTTACCGTTCCAAGAACAGTTGCCCAGGAGGAAGGAAAGGCAGCCTGTCATAGTCTCTGGGGCTTGTGCTGTCTTCTCAGACTGGGTGCCCCACAGCAGAGCAAAGAATTGAAATGAAGAAGCCAGGGTCCCTTCCCCTTCTCTGTCCCCTGCTCCATTTTGTTTTTATTTGAAGCATTTTTGAAAAGCAAATGAAAAATTAGATTTGAATATAAAAAGCTAGATGACTACCCAGTCCAGAACTGGGTTTCATTGGAGAAGCCCTGGCACAGACAGGATGTGAATTGCACCTCATCTACAGGAACACTGTGACAGAAGTCAAAGTCGCACATAAATGTCACTAAATGTCACTTGGGACCTCTGAGCAAAAGCATAGCTAGCATCAACTCTGTAAAATGAGGGGATTTAACCAGACAGTCTGTCACAGGGCATCTGGTCCAGAAGGCTCGCTCGGGAGCTCCACCCATCAGGGCAGGGGGCACTCGCCCTCTCTACTAAGGCAGATGCACGAAGGGCCACCTATCACACTATGGCATGGTTAGGGTAGTTAATCTAGAGTAGACTAACTGGCCTGCACCCACCTGTCTGTAGTTTGATCTTGCTAACATTCACTTATCACTGTATCTGATGTTGTCCTGACTTGAAAGTGGGGGCAAGTTTCCCTGACTAGTATGAGAATCAGGGTCTACCCTGCTGCGATATGGCTTACCAGGCTTTCTTTGCAATGTGTTGATTTTGGAAGTTATTTAAGCCAAATATGGAGAGTAACTTTTAAAATCTAATTTGTAATCATGTCCCACTCCTGAGAGGTGTGCAAATTTCTCCTAGATCCCAGACATTATAAACTGCCTCATTTCGAAAAATGATAGGTACCTACATCAAATGTTGCTTGAGGCCTCTTGTTGTTTTTTTTTTTTTTTTAAGATTTTATTTATTTATTCGTGAGAGACACAGAGAGGCAGAGACACAGGCAGAGGGAGAAGCAGGCTCCATGAAGGGAGCCTGATGTGGGACTCAATCCCGGGACCCTGGGATCACACACTGGGCCGAAGGCAAACGCTCGACTGCTGAACTAACTGCTGAACTACCCAGGCGTCCCGAGGCCTCTTGTTCTAACAGGTGTTCCATTGTTGGCAGTTCTGCACCGCCTCTTTGGCCTGAGCCATACCTATAATTTCAACTGTGATTTCCAGTTTAGGTTGTTTTCAAAAAGGATAGAGATTTTAAGAACCTTATAAAACCTGAATTTAGCATCCTTCCAGAAATGCATGTCCCCATTCCCCTCCTTTTTTTTTTTTAGTAATTCATGCCTGATTTTATAACAAGTTTTTGTGTGTGTGTATGTATATGTGTGGGGGGATTTACCTTTATTAAATTTATACAATGATTTCAACTTAGTTTTTATGGACACAACAAGACTAACTTTCTTTTCATTCATTTTATCAAATTATGTAAGAGTAAATTACATAATTCCAATAATTTAAAGTGGCGCAATGATTTGAAAACAAATATAACTTATTCTTGATAAGCAAACAGCTCACCTGGTGAAAGCAGCAATGCACAGGTGTGACAGTGTAGCTAATTACCTGATCAACTTTAGCACACCAAGCACATCGGTCATTGTGTCAAACAGACAAAATGCCAACCATTGTTAATGTGGTAAGTCAATTAGAATAGAGGTAGGTTAGATAAAGCAATATGTGCCCAAAAGATTGTGCAGATAAAGTGGTGAAGGGGGTTTAGATGAGGCAGTGATTATTATTCTGACACGATAATGGGCAAAAATAACCACTATGAGCAACAGCCAGAGAACATTAGGAAGTTCACCTTGGCTAAAGCACAACTTCTGTGAAGGACAGATTTGGGAAATTTGGTTGGAGTGCTAAGTTGGAGACAAAAAGCTTCATCTGGCAAGAATATATAAAACAGAGGTATTCATTCACCAAGTATTTATTGGGCATCTAGCATAGAATAGGCTTTGTGGCCCACAAAGTTCCAGAATTAGGTGAGGCTAGAATGAGGGCAATAATTATTAAGTATAGCTCTCCAAAGAAGTGACAAGAATGAACAGAAAGCCCACAGGAATTTGGAAGATGAGACTGAGAGAAGGGTTATTACAAAGGTAAAATTTAACAAGTTTGACTTTCAATTACGTTCAATATTAGAAAAGCATTAAGAATAAAGGAGAGTTTGAGTCTGTTTGCTCGAAGAATGATATTGCAAATAACCAGCCTCAAACATGGTTAAAGGAGTAGGTTAGGATAGAAAAAAAAGTCATGACTTTAATTGAGAGCATTTGAGTTTGAGTAACATTAGGCATGCTTCTACTTTCTTACAGTATTTCAGGCTGACTGTAGAATATACTTATATTGCTTGAGAAGTGTTTGCAAATTAATTTGTAAGCATGTATAGGATCACTTGTCTATACCTAGTAACTGGTAACATATTACAAAATTGGGTTGTAAAACAAGAATAGCTGATTTTAAAGAATATTCTTAAGAATAAAGTTTGATATATTGGCAATAGCACTCTTATCTATAGAAAATCTGAACTAGTTAGACCTGGAGTAACTCTGCATTAAAAAAAAAGAGCTAGCAATTTATTTTATCATCATCCGGGCAAGACACATCAGAGGAGGATATTCAGGGAGGCAATGAGGAGGCATCTGATAAAAATTAATTTCATATCATTTGATTCACATCTTTTTACCTTAATACAGTTGCTGATTGGAAATTTGAAATCTAGATGACTAATAATGGCATTTACTAATGGGTATGAAGTTTGATATGGAGGCTGATATTTGGCACCATATGTGAAGAACTGTGATATGCAAAAGGTGGATTTGTCCAAATTTTAAAAAGACTTTTCAATATTACTTTAAAAAATTTCCCTGTAACCGGGTGTTCCATGTAAATGATGAGTCACTGAATTCTGCTCCTGAAACCACTAATACCCTAGATACTAACTCACTAAAATGTAAATAAAAACTCAAAACAAACAAAAACAACCAAAATGTCCCTGTGAGTTGAAGTAATACTGTATAACAAAGGGTTTTATTACTGCTTGTGCTTAACTTATTATTGTGACATTTGCTTTATAACAAGTATATAATTAGTTTGGCAAAATTACTGTAAACAGAAATTAAATGGAACTCATGTCTACAGCTACCAAAGAGCTGGCTTGCTGTAGCTGATGAAATAATTTCCATGAAGATACTGAATATTTGTATTATATAAAATGGCGTAGTTTGTGGTGTGTATAAGTGTTTTTGTTTTTCACTTCAAATTGTAGATTCTCTTCACCTGTTAGGCTAATCTTGCCATTTTTTTCAATGAATTGTTTTCAGTTTTAAATTGATGGGAAAATTATAAGTGTGTCAGTACCCTCAGAAACAGTGTGATTGCACAGAAGACAGAGCATGGAGTTTGGGCTCAGGAGTAATTCTCTCAAATCTTGCTTTGCTCATTTACTAGTTATATGATGTAAGACAAATTCTTAACCTGTCTAGGCCTTAGTTCCCTTATCTACAAAATGAGAACAATTAATTTTCCTCCCCCCTCACCTTCTCTCTGGGCCTTCTCTAAGTGGTTTGCTTAGTACGTGTTCCTGATGGCCATCTGTAACTTCATAACATAACAATTTGATTTCACACTAACATTGTGAATAATGGCAAGGAGACAACAGACAATTTTCTTATTTCCTTTTCTTATTCAACCTGTCCTTTGCTCTAAACTTAAAATCTCTTCACTTCAAGGAGAATCCAAACAATCAATTCATAGTACTAATCCTTTCTTTCTAGACTATTCGTTACTGAAATTAAAGTGACTGACTTTTTATGTCCACCTCATGCACAGAAACTCAATGAAAGCAGTAGCTCCTCTGAAGGCAGCACTGTAGACATTGGTGCACCTGCAGAAGAACAGCCTATAGTGGAACCGGAGGAAACCCTTGAACCTGAGGCCTGTTTCACTGAAGGTAAAGGCAGTGACCCTCACGTTGATCTTCCATTTATAGAGTGCAGGGTTTTTTTAACTGTTGATCACCCAAGATGGACCATTCATAATAAAATAGAATCCTTAGTAGACCTATTTCAATTACCTCCAATATGCTCTTTTTAAATCTATTGTTATTTTTGGTTAAATCTGCCCATTATGTGTAAAAGGTCATGAATGTGGAGATAAATATTTTAATGTAATCAAAACTAGTAATTCATATTTTTTAGAAATGAAATGGTGATCTCAATAATTGTTAAATAAAAGAATTGTAAATTAAATTAAACACTAGTCAAAATTCTCATATACAGAATTTGCCTTAAAAATAACTTTCAGACTACTAAAGTTAAATGACTTGTAAATGCCAAACTGTATTTTTAAACAAATACCATCATTTTTCAAGGCTTAGTAGATGAAGTGAGAAATAAGCACAGACCCATACCCGATACATAAATAGTATCTAGCTAAGGCTGGTATAATATGGACAATAGTTTTAAGAGCCTTGTTTTCTCCATGACTAGCATTTCCCATGGTGTCATTTACTTGGAAATTTGAGTTTTGAAGATATGAATATATTTGCATATTCTCTGTTTAGTGACCTCTTCTCCACAGGCCTGATATATATTGTCTCACTCTATTTCCTAATAGAAATTCCACACATCATTCAAAGTCCTTCTCAAACCTACTTTCATCTGACCATGGTGGAAAAGAGCTTACTATTCTTCTCAACAGCTATTAATAAATATACCCATTTAATTCAACTGATAACTTTTTGTTTATTACTTTATGATAACTCTTCTCTTTCTGTTTTGAACTATTGTATGTATCTTTACTGTCTTTCTTCTTCCCTCTCTTCCTTCCTTCCCTTCCTCCCTTTTCTTCTAGCATACATGACTTTTTCTTTTTTCTCTTTTCTTTTTGTTTTTTTTTGGGTTTGTTTTGTTTTTGTTTTTGCCTTGAGATAGGTTTCCTGGGTTTATATCTTTTCTCGAAAACAAGAATGTAAGGTTCTTGGTGGCAAGGTCCAGGTCCCATACTTTTTTTCTTTGTGCCTTAAAAAAAATGTATTTGTATCCTCCATGGTGTTTGCAAAGGTAGTCACAGATATCTGTGGATTTAATTCTTATGTTTGAGTGAGTAAAAGCAGTATAAGGAAAGCAATGAGAAATCTAAGCAGGGCCAACCAATCACATCTTAGTGGACTAAATTAATTTTGAAAATTATGTGAGCTCTTCTAGAAACACCCAAAAAAATAAAACAGTAACAAACCCAGTTGGGGGATATCTACATTATTATTCTATAATCTCTTCAAAAGGGAAGTTTTCTATTTGTCACTAATATTCGTTTGGAACTCCTCTACTAGTGTCACTTCAACAGAGTGCAATAGGATGACATAGGAAAAGACAAAGCTACTTTACATTTGTTTGTACTTTTCAAAGTTCTTTCTTGGATAATATGACCTGGGGCAGAAAAACCAGGAAACTGTTTAAGGAGGCTGAATAATTTTCACAACCTCACACAGCTAATGAATGTGCTTTTATTACTCCAGCTTAGAGAGTTACCCTAGCAAGATGGAGATGATAATTGTAGTAAAAAGATCAATCAGGGACATGCTAAAGAATATTACTGAGGCAACAGAAGTTACTTCATCTACTCCTCTTTGAACATTATACTTGCAGGCTGTGTACAAAGATTTAAATGTTGTCAAATCAGTGTAGAAGAAGGGAGAGGAAAACAATGGTGGAACCTGAGAAGAACATGTTTCCGAATAGTTGAACATAACTGGTTTGAGACCTTCATTGTTTTCATGATTCTCCTTAGTAGTGGTGCACTGGTAAGTGAATATTAAGTAAAAGTGGTACAATATTAAGTTTAAGATAATCTAATACTGATGACTTTTTAATTCTTTCTATTGCACTTTCTATCTTTAATTCTTTCTATTACCCAATGCATTCTTTCCCAAGCCCTCATCCTACATCCATTTTCATTTTCATGGTATCAGCCATAACCTCTGTTTGATAAACCTCATTTATCTCTACTAAGACTCCTTCCTTAAATATATGTACATCTCTGTATCCAACCATCCCTCCATCCATCCATCTACCCACTTAGCACCTTTCCACCCACCCACCTACTCTTCTACCTGTCTCCAACACATTTTTCATTACCTACCCCCATATCCCATCTTCCAGATTATAGATTTAATGTTTTAACTACACACTTCTGGATTTATTTCTACTATGTATACATTACAATTTCTAATAAACTCTTAATTTTTGCTTACTTGTAAGTAACCTATGGAAATTTGTCCCTCCAGCTTATTCATTATAACCAAAGAATACAAATATTCAATTACTCATATTTTAACAAGAAAGTAAGCATGACAACTCAATGTAGTTAACAGAAGTCCTGTGATGGACTTCTGAGTTCTGACAAATACTGTGTCTGAATGGTATTATCATTTGTTTATGGACAGCCAATAAGTCCTTAGGGACCACTTCTCTGTCCCTTTTAAATTGTGTCCACTATTTTTATGCTACTCAGGAAACAATGAATATTGGTAACAAAAAATATTGGGCAGTATGCCTAAGTGATTCATTTAAAGATCACTTTTTCTTTATATGAAGATGGCTTTTATAGCAAATTAATTTATATGTATATGAAAATCACTTATAAAAATATAAAGCATAACATAGGTAACATTTTAGAAAAACACTGACACAAATAGAATACTTAAGCCATAGGGTAGATAGATGAGAGATAAAATGAGCTTGTCTGATTGATACACAATCACTTAAGTTTATAACTTAGATTTATAATTGGAACATAAGTCTTTATTTTCCTGCATATTTTCTAATGACATAAATTTTCTCTGCATGCCTCTTTATACAAGAGATAATCTGCCCCTGAAACAAATGTGAGACTCAGATGTTAAGTATAAAGAAAAGTTCATATTAGAAGAACAGTATCACAATCTAAATGAAAAGTATTTTCATCCTATCATCATTGTCATAGCATAGCTCTGCTGAGAAATCTAAACTCAACAAAATGAAGGGGAGAGAAGGGACAAATGAACCCCACTCTGTAATAAAATTGGGCAATGTGATAATCGATTACAATTTCTGCTTTATGAAAAACATAAACCTTCACTTTTTATTTCTTCAATCTTCCTATTATGGCAAAAAATCAACAGGACGAAGCAAAAGAAATGAAACAAAAGAAATAAATAACTTCAAGTTGGGGTAGCACCATCTGGATATAACATCAAGAACTGTTACCTAAACAAGTCAAATTAATGAGAATTATGCCTTTACCTCTTTCTTCTGGCTATAATATCAATGGAGAGTTTAACTTTCCCCTGGTTCATTAAAAGATCTTTGAGAGGAAAAAAATCTTAAAAACAGCAATGTTTACTACCCCTCTGCCCTCCTAGTCCAATGGAATGTCATATGTATACATATAAAATCTGGGGAAAAAATATATGATCAGAAAAATAGCTTAGACTGTATAATAGTTTCAGAAAGCTTAAAATATATAACTTTTCTCTACAGGCATTTGAAGACATATATATTGATCAGAGAAAGACAATTAAGACAATGTTGGAATATGCTGACAAGGTTTTCACTTACATTTTCATTCTGGAAATGCTTCTAAAATGGGTGGCATATGGCTATCAAACATATTTCACCAATGCCTGGTGTTGGCTAGACTTCTTAATTGTTGATGTAAGTATCCTTCCTATCTTTGCCTCATATTCACAGTAATTTGTCTTATCTGTATTCATTCTAGAAAAGTGAATCTCTGACCAGTATGCTGAGTTGACAGGAAATGCTACTTAATAGACGCTAAACTAATTCACTGAATGATAGTGTTGTAGTAAACCCTGGTTTAGTCCTGGTTTAGCACAGGGGGTGGGGAGGTTATCTAGGATAAAAAACAGAGAACACAGCAGTTTGTAGAGAAAGTGGTGAAATAGGGTATGTTGCTTAAATCCCTTATATTGTGAGTCAGACAGACACGCGTTCACATCCCAATCCCATGACCGATTGGTTGTGTGCCAGTGAGTGAATTACCTGGCTCTTGAATCTGTAAAAAGATATTAGTACACACGGTATTGAAGGCTCTCAGTAAACAGTGATAATGGTAGGAGCTACTGTCATTTTTAAAAAATTCTCTTTGATCTACTCAAAGTTTTAAAGGGTGAGTTTAAAGAGTAGATTACCGAGATTATTATCCTTTAGAGGCAGTGAAGTGTACCGAGTGTAGGGAAAAACTCTGCTTGGTGCAGCTGCAGGAGTTTCCCGAGATGTAGACTCCATTTGCAGCAAGCCCATAATAGGTCAGACAGCCCTTACCAGAAGTTACATGTCCAATAAAAATTAATAATATTTCATCTACCACAAACCAGGTGGCTGCCTTCGAGATTTCTTAAACAAAATATTTCATGCTATCAATTTACTGTAATTTCAGCTGTAAGAAAGTGTGTCCAAAATATCAGAGATTTCATAGGCAAGTTTTATCTCCAAAAGATAATAGAGCAAGACCACACAGGTTTATTGTGGAATGTATTTCTAGAGCTCAGAGTCATGCATGTTATATTTCCTGAATTCTGAATAAAGGCAAAGCCAAAGCTATTTGAAAAGCTTAATGATGTTACTATGAAATGGTCAATTGAGAAAAACCTCAAAAGTGTAATAGCTTCATCATTACAAAAGAAAAAATTTCCGACATTGAGGTTTCATTATAAGTTATATTTCAAAAAAAAAGTTATATTTCAACTCCTCATAATTTTTCACACTACATTTTAAATCTAAATATAATCAAACCCTTTTGAAATCATGAGCTTTGCTTTTCTCTACTATGCTTATTCATCTCTAAAGTTTTAATGAAAAAATGATGATTTTATTATTGTTATAAGTTGAGTTTTTTAATTATTAGATTATAAACACTTTATTTTAATTATTTTTATTGCAGTATAATTAGCACGCAATGTCACATTAGTTTCAGGTATGCAACAAAGTAAATTAATAGTCTGAAATATATTAAGAAAATAATTCTATATAGATCTTGTTATTTTGCAATAATCATTTTTTTCAATGTTCTATTTTAATTATTTCATAAGGATCATTGTATCTTTTTTAAAAAACAAAAAAATTATAGCACATTGCAAGTAATATAAAAAGTATATTTAAACATAAGGCAACTTAATATACTTAAAAATAGAAAATTTTGCAAAAATAGTATCCAGTATATATGAAACTGTCCAATATTAGTTCTTTTTCAAACCAAAGAAATTGTAGCTCTGGATATGGAGTTTTGGTACGTTCTTTATTTAGATACTTAGACACCTAACATTTTTGTTTCTTAGTTCTCTCTTATTTCATAAAAATTAAGTAAATTCATTGATTTATTTTCATGGCAAATACTTATTGATTATCCATTTTCAGCCAGATAGTATGACAGAAGCTGTAAGTTAGTACAGAAAAATTTGGGATGCCTGAGTGGCTCAGCGGTTGAGCGTCTGCCTTTGGCTCAGGGCGTGATCCTAGGTCCGGGGATCGAGTCCCACATTGGGCTCCCTGCGAGGAGCCTGCTTCTCCCTCTGCCTATGTCTCTGTTTCTCTCTGTGTGTCTCTCGTGAATAAATAAATAAAAATCTTAAAACAAAAAAAAAGAAAGAAAAATTTGAGTAATTTTCATGATGGAATTATTTATTAGGATACATTGTTTACATCTGAATAAACTAGAGAAAACACAGAGGTAAGCAAGAAAAAAACGCACCTTCAAAAATCGCCTATGAAATCAATGTGCCAAGTTATTAATTTTTGAGAGTACCAACTATAATTAGTTGAACATACAATGCAGGACTAAGATTTCTTGCTTTCTCTGGTATAATAGCAGCTTTTGTATTTTATCTACTGGTCATCCAAAGTTCTAAATTCACTTAATAAAATAAAGAAGGATAACCAATTCCCTTTTCTTATACCTGAATTTCTTCCTTTTTTAAAAAATTAATTTTTATCTAGTTTTTCTATCTAATTGCTCTACTGATAAATTAGTTTAACAATTAATAAATTACATAGCATTTAAGGTTTTTATTCTACTACCTTTAACATCCTGAAAACTACTTTTTTTGCATCAAGCTGAAAATACTTCCTTAAATTTTAAAAGCTTTACTGAAAATATACAACCATTTTTCTTCTGAGTAATTATAAGCAAAAATCATATTTATTATATTATATAGTAAATTGTATGATGATTTTATTTATTTACTTATTTATTGGTGCAGGTTTCATTGGTCAGTTTAACAGCAAACGCCTTGGGTTACTCAGAACTTGGTGCCATCAAATCTCTCAGGACACTAAGAGCTCTGAGACCTCTAAGAGCCTTATCGCGATTTGAAGGGATGAGGGTAAGGAAAATGAAAGAACCTGAAGCATTACATATAGTAAAAATTAAATTCATTAAATTAAACTTTATAAGAGGAAAACCCATGCATGCAAAAGGAATGGCAAATCCTTGCAAAGTTGCTACTTTATCATTTTATCTGTTGCATATTTACTTCTGTGTGATATGCAAGAGAATTTAGGCCTCCCTTGAAATGATATAATATCATTTATCTGCTGTGCTTATTAAAATGACTTTATTTCCTAATCCACCTTGGGAGTTTCCTTACAAACCTGTATTAAAAAAAACAAAAACAAAAACAAAAACCAGATGCACCACTAAAGTACTATGTGTAATGATAGGATAATAATCCACTGAAGTGAAGTCTACATTATATGCTTCTCATTGTGATGACCTAAATTGTACTTAATGAGTTTTATTGAAAATAATGTGACTCACACATTACCTAAGAGGAAAGGAAAACAATTTTTAAATGTCAAAATTTTGTCTGTATAATGCCAAAGTTTGCATTATTTGAATATGCTCAAAGGTAGCTATTAAATATTGACTGAATTTTAAACTTTTTTTTAAAGTTATGTTTAATATAGCCTCAATTTATAACTGCATTAATCTTTTTAATTTATGTAAATAGTAGTATTAACTTAAAGATTATGTGGAAATCCACACAATTTTTCATGACAATAAAGTAAAGCATTTATAATATAATGAACAGAAAATGTAATTTTGACTCATTACCATAGATAATTCATAAATTAAGCATAACTCAAATTTCACTTGAGTCACAGAAAATTTTATACTCTTCCTTTCAAGGAAATATTCAGCTATCCCTATGATTCATTACAGATTATAAATGTTGCCATTACTGAGTTATTATTTTCCATGCCTTTTAAAATGCATGAAGCATTGATATATAAGATGTATAACATTAAAAAATTAGCTCCTTTTTAAAAAAAAAAATCAAAATTTCTTTTACCAAAGCAAAGCTGCTGAATTAAGTGTGATTCCAATAGAAAAACATTGCTTTTTTAAAAAAATATGCCTAAAGTTTAATTGCTTATAGAAACTAAGCTGTATTGAAGACTTCCAATTACATCTTGTAGGTTGTTCATAGCCTTACGTGTTCCTTTAAAATAAGATTTATTGTAAATGTCACTTTAAGAACATGAGACTTGTCTTTAGTTTCCCTAACATATATAGAAAATTTTTTCCTCACTAGAAACAATTTAACACAATATAATGCAGTCTTATTTTATTTCTCACAGAGATCTTCACATTTTTACTAAAATGTTAAAGGAAATTCTCTCCAGGGTATGTAAAAATTAAGTTTATTTTCCAATTAAAATGTTACTTTCTTTTGTTTCAGACAGGCAGTTTCAGTTTTTGAGAAAAATATTATTTTTATACATTCTACTTGAAAACATATTACCTGAATCAAAGTAATACCTTTTAAACATCTTCTGAAATCTGAACGATGCTAAGTATTTAAAGCTGTTATAAACGTTTCAAATTTAACCTTTTGAAAATGTATTAAATCCACAATTGAGATGGCCAGATATCCCCATGCTTAACACTTTATTTCCATAATGACGTTGGTCTTGTGGGTCTACCTTTGATTTTTACAGAAATAACCTTATCTGTTATTATTGATCAGTAATGCTTTTTATATTATAAAGAGAGATTAACTTTTGCAACTGAGAATTTTAAAAACATAAACTCTTTATTGATGCTAATAGGAGGTGAACTCATCTTTAAATTATAGGATTTATGAATATGGTTTCTTGCCTCATAGTGACAGCATATATACAACCATAAAATGGCTGATCATTTCAAGAGGTGTTTGGCATTGTAGAGACAAAATAACCTAATTATTGACTCTATTTTTGTATTTTTTAGTGTTTGGAATTTTTTACTTTCTTAAAAATGTAAACATAGATGATGGTGAGGTTAGAGATAATAATGATGACTATCATTGGGAAGTGATATTTGAATATATTCAGAAACTCTCATTTTATTCTTCTCCCTAGCAGCATTAAAATCACAATAGCTGTGTCAGAGTGTAAATCTAGCACTCATTCTATTTTTGTTGATTTGTCACTTATTCAAGCATGTGCTTTTATGCAACATAACCAAATAAAGCATGTTATGTAGTGCCTGATAAGAAGTTAGAAAGTGATAAGTTATCATCCCATTGCACTTTATGTTTTGCATGTTCTATGCACATTTCTGGCTGACAGCTTTTAAACATTTATTGTATTTCAAATTTCCAGTCCAAATTTTTCAACCTGTAAAATTGAACTGAGTGAATTTATGTTGTAAATATCTAGAGTAACATAAAATTTGTACTTAAATTTGTATTTTTATTTTCCTAATCTAGGAAATCTTAGATACCTTCTTTTTCAAAAGAACTCAAGTCCTGATTGATAGGGAGACAGAGACCATCATATACAAAAAGTAACACCAAATGTTCTGTAATATCAGATTTCTAACTAATAACAAACTATATATTTCTATTTTATATAGGATAATCTTGCTCCAACTTGGATGGGGTGGAGCGCTGGTTCCTCCCCTCAGCCCTTTATTATGGGTACTGTATTACCCCTTTTGCTACCTTTCATCCTTTCACTGTGACTTTGTGTAGTGGGGTGAGGGAGGGATTGGGAAGGGTACTATCGCACCACAGTAGAGAAAATACACTATATTCTAATCCCCTATTTTCAACTGTCTTAAGTTTTCTTTTGAGAAAAATACCTTTGTGAACTTACCCTCTGTGGGTCTGAACACCAACTGTTGATATCTTCATTAAGCTTCACGGAATATGATTTAGTTATGTGTTTATGGAGTTGTCCATTTACGGGGAGATTATCTGATTGGTGAGGGTGGGCGACCTGGTTTAAAATGAATGCGTGAAAACGTTAACTTTTTGATTGATGATGCTGTTTGAGGCATTAAACCCTTGGCATTTTTTACACTGGTCTGGGTCCTGAAAACAGCCATCCAGACACCAGCAGTCAGTTCCCTGCCTTGTTGATATATGTGAGCAGAAACTAGGGTTCACTATCCCAGATTTCATAAGACTCATAATGATTACGTGACCATATTCATTTTTACGTGAAAATTTATAAGGGTTATTTTCAAAATATAATGAGAAAACAATGTATTAAGAGTTGAGTTAGCACATGTGCTTTGTGTTTTAAATTGGGAAAAGTAAGTACAAAGAGATCTATATATTTGAATTATACAAACTAGAATACCTGCCCTGAAATAAAACAGAAACATCTTACCATATGTATTAAATAGAATTTAATCCATAAACTCACTTCTTAGAGTAAGTCACTCCCAAATAACTTTTTAGGATCTTAGAAGATACCACAATGAAAACATAAATAAAAATGAATCTATATTTTGTTTATTCTTAAAGTTTGAAACTAATGTACAAGAAGGAGAGTTTTTATTTTTGAAAGAGATAAAGTTGGAGATTTTATTTGGATAATTGATGTATCATATCTTTCCAAGATAATTATCTTAATTAAGCCCCACAACACAAATGTAGTCAGTAGGTTCTTTAAAAAATTCCATTATTCTTTTTTTGTATTTAAAAATGTGTGATTTTTTTTGCCTACTTTTGATTTTTATTCATATAGGTTTTATATTTAGATTAATGAAGCATTAGAATCCATGAGTAGTAGTATTTGAAATTCAGAGATAATTTGTTCAGACAAGACATTTCTACATGTATCAAAATTCCTAACATTAATTTGCATACTTAACTGTCAATCCTTCATTTTGTGTTGATTTAATAAAAATGCAGATAGTGAACCAGATACAGAAAGTTTTTATAAGAATGGATTGTACTAGAATAGAGAAATTCTATTGATGATGTTTTGCAAAACATTTGTGAGAAGATGCAATCTCTGATATTAATTTATTAAGATCGTTCCTTCCTTAGACATCTTCTTTTATGCATCCTACAACCTCAATCTGTTCTTTCCAATTAATTCAGGCCATTTCTGCCCAGTGTCTTCACCTCATGGGAAACAATTACTGCAGTTCCCTAGAGCCTGGAAAGAATTAATACACCTCCCTCTGTGCTGAACCAAGAAATGCCTTGAGGCTCTTGGGAAAAGACAATCCTTGCTCTGAACTTTATTGCTTAATGAAATTTTAAATATGATGGACCTTTGTATAGCAGATTTCCCAATACTGTGCCTAATGTTTTAGTTCTTTTATCTTCATATCTTCATAAAAATAAACCTTTTCTCTGGACCGAAAGTATGCCAACATTGCAAATTATTTTCTGAAAGACACTGCTTCAGAGTACTTGCTTGCGTCACGAATTACATAGAGCTCATTTTAATACAAAACTAATCCCCAGTTTCAAAGTAGCTCTCAGACTTACTGGCTAACCCCCAATTTTTTGTTATACCCAGCTCTTTATTCTCATCTCGTGTCCAAAGTAACATTAAATAGTATGTTTTCATCAATAAATGCTAAGCTAATCTTTACTCCACTCATTCATTCCACCATTTTTCCCCTATATTCAAAGTACTCTACTATATTCCCATAGTCAAAGCACTGAAGACCTTGGAGAATGCACAAATATATTTTTGCATCTTAAGTTAAAAAAAGAAAAAGCCTCTTGTCTGTCAAAATTACAGGAATGCAGTTAACTCTAAGAGCAATGTGGGAACCAGGTTAGTAGGAGCAACTCTATGGAGAATGAGTGATGTAGAATGGAAAGAGCAAGCCCTAGATGCTACTTCTAGTCTACTTTCTGAATTTAATCTATCTTAGCCTCATTTTTTTCATTGCCAACAGAGAACATCATTCTAAATTATCTCTATGGTCCTGGCCAGCCCTGGAATTCTGATTCTTAAATTCAAAAGAGGAAACGCTCATCTTTGTTTTGGAGGCTAACGTGGAGGGCGAAGTGAGGCTTCATGAAAAGAAGTGCTACGTGAACTAGACCTTGTAGAAGAAAGAATGTTCCAGAAAGGGGGATACTGGGCAAGGGATTTCAAAGGCATCTCAGTTGTCTGGTAATTGTATTAGTTGGGTTGGCATGAGGGTAGTTGGCTAGGGAAGTTTAAACTAGAAATGTAGATTGTGAATTGATTTGAATACTGAGGCAAGGAAAATATTTGATAATCAGTGGAGATCCATTAAGTAATTTTAAAGTGAGACTTGGGGATGATGAATTTGTATCACATAGAAAGGAGAAAATTAGAAGACTCTGACAATAGTGCCACTATGAATTAATGGAGGCCAGATTTAGGATGAAGGTGAAAATGGGAAAGAAATGACAGAGATGAGGAAGGATTTGAAAAAAGAAGTATCGGACCTACAGACTGACATGAAAAGAACTTCAGGAAATAGGTATAGGTCACCATACTCTAAACTGACTGTTGTAGGTAAAATGCATTTTAACATATACTCTGTGTATACACAATAAAAATAAGTTTGTTTTTTAATCTGGATGGTAGGCAAAATATTCAGAAAAGGAGGGAGATAACTAACTTGATTCTACCTATCAAATTTTGAATACAAGATAAATCTAAGTGTATCCACACATTTAAAATGAGGTATAAAATAGGATTTATTTGATCAATTGTATTACTGCAGACAGGCAAATGACATAAGATAAGATCCATGTTTCAGTCTGGTAAGCTGCCTAGGCCTTATCACCTGGATCTCCCTGGGTGACTCCAACAACCTAAATGTTTACGCTCATTTTCCTACCTTTGCCAGTAGTGGTTTTACTATTTCCTTTGGCCTACTTAGCACATTGTTTTGGAATCCCAAAAGTCCTAGAGTTCTTTGCAAACTTTAAACATAGCTCAGAAGCAGAAGGAATTGGCTCATGTATTTGTTTTTTCAGACATGTAATCAAAAAACTTTGTTCTAAAAATGCACTGGCATCAAATGGCGGATAGAAAATACTTTGATGCTTATTGTTTACATTGGACCAGAATGACAAGAATAATAGAAGTACATAGGTAGCATTAATGTAGCTATCAATGTTCAAGTCTGAGGCATCCTCTGCCACTTACGAGCATCTGAGGTCCTGTCTTTATCTCCCCTCTTAGCTACTCCTATACAGCTCCAATGGGCACTGTCGAGCAGGGAGCAAGGACACCTATCCCTATAGTGTTGCCAAATATGAAAACTCAGATGTTTTCATCTGGGATCCAGAAATTAAGATAAGAGGGGAAAAAAACATGCTCCCATAGAAAAAGAATAGATAATTACTTAGCACAGAATTTGATGTTAATCACATCAGATTTGGGAACTATGTATGACATCCCCCTTTTCTTATTTTCCTAAGAAACTAATTTCTATTATGTTTCATTTAAAATAAGTTTATTGAATTAAACTCAGTAAATGAAACAACTGACATGACTGGAGCTTGAAATAAACGATGTGATGATCTAATGAAATACATAATGCTAAATGGTCTTGCTTCTTATGCAAAAATTATTAGTCATAGCAATGCATGAATAATTAAGGACAAAACTTATAGTAGGCATTTAATAATATTTTTATATTTATACATCTGAACTTTTTTTTTATTAAAGTATGTTGGTCAAGCCAACTTCTGTCCAAATATTTTAGTTTCATTATTTAATATATTGCCTTTTTAAAAATTAATCTTCTGTATTAGGATTTCCTATTTCTCTTTTTTCTAATAAACAACAAATATTCTAATATCATCTGGCAGCAAATTCCTCTGATTTTGCCTTTCCTTTAACTTTTTGGTACTTCTTCCTCTCTTTTCTTAAACTTTTTTTGTTTCTTTGTTATATTGTCTATATTTGTTTCCCTAAATATATTGCTTAAGAAAGAATGGATTTCATTTTAAGTTTTTTTTTTTACTTTAAAGTGTCCTAGAATAGTCTTGATACTTTTTTTAAAAATGGAAATACTAAAGATTACTAGGGAATGTCTTTTCCTTTTTAACAAATAAGAATTCTGACTTTTCTTTTTTTCCATTTGTGTATTAGGTGGTTGTGAATGCCCTTTTAGGAGCAATTCCATCCATCATGAATGTGCTTCTGGTTTGTCTTATATTCTGGCTAATTTTCAGCATCATGGGCGTAAATTTGTTTGCTGGCAAATTCTACCACTGTATTAACACCACAACTGGTGACATGTTTGACATCACCGAAGTGAATAATCATTCTGATTGCCTAAAACTAATAGAAAGAAATGAGACTGCCCGATGGAAAAATGTGAAAGTAAACTTTGATAATGTAGGATTTGGGTATCTCTCTTTGCTTCAAGTTGTAAGTGAACACTCTTTTCTCTGAAATTTGTTTATTGTTTGGAATAATAACAAAGTAATGACAAACACCTGAGTTACTAAGAAGAGAGTTAGTTATTAAGAAGAAAGTTTATTACAGACTTTTTTTTCTAATTTTGATTTATTAGTAAGAGCCTATGAGCCCAGATGGGTGGCTACCAGTCAGTGGAAATTCAGTGCAGACATAGTTGATAGTGACCAGTTATTTCAGTTCTTCCCAAAGGTTTTATTCTCCTCCTGCCCATATTGCTCTCTTCCCATATGAACAAGTTGATTAGCCATTAAGTTTGCTGGTATTTTTTTCTATTGCTACTGGAAAGCTTTGTTCGCTGATGGATCACCCTCCCCAAACATACACACTTAACACACCTGATTGGACTGTAACTAATTGGTGGCAGTTTACTGCTACTGAGTTGTAGGATTTGGATTGAAGATCAGGGAGTGAATGATATTTAGGTATTAGGGTTGGATCCTTACAGTGAAATGGAAATAATACAGGGTAGTGCCTGAACTCAGAAATGAAATACTAGCAGCCATGGTCTTGTCAAATGACTTTTCAGTGCAATTAAGTCTATTTTATCTAAGTAAAATAGGAATTTTATCTATTCCTGCCTTTTACTAATGGTTTTTAAGCCTAATTTACACAAAAGAAAAACAGTTCACAATTTATAAAAACACAAAAGAGAAGATGGTGGCCCTTGAAGGATGTATATTTGATGCTATTTTGCAACAGCTACATCACAACACAGCAGTGGCTAAAAACAGAATCCAGATTGTTTGAAAAACACAGAAAGATCCTGCTCTTTTTTGGCCACTAAAAACTGAGCTTAAAAAAAAAAAAGAAGTCTATAAAAGTTCTTTCCTTGTGTTTCTACAGAGGCTTTAGAGCAGAAATCCATTTCTGTTCACCAGGATTGTTTTCAGTTCAACCAGGAGACTAACCAAGCAAACAAACCTGCATTGGTCAAAACCCTCTAACATCTCTTTCAGAGGTGTCTGTACTATGAGTCCTTGACAAGTTCTTCCCACCTTCTTGTTGGAAATTCCTATTTCTCTTTTGGATGTTTCTGACTTACTCTGAATGTTTAAGCAATTAAAATAGGGATTTAAAAAATCTGGCAAGTATGAATTATTTAAATATTATAGTGGACACATGATGACACTCTTGAGAATTTATCCTAACCCTTAATTAATAACCGCACTTGTAAATATCACTAAAGTGTATCACTTCCTCCATAAAATGGAGAAAAGAAAAAATTTTTTCAAGAAATGCCTTAAAATGCTAAATAACTTGAAAATGTAGGATAATGATCGTGCATGGAGCCATTATATAAATTCTACCACTAAAGAAACTCGAAGTACTTCTTTATAGTTGGCTTTCTACAAAATCACCTCTGTTGATGAGTAACTCATCTAAATGGTTCTTCAAATCACTTCCTTTCTTCATATGCCTAGTGTGTAATTGACTTGTTCTATCATTCACCTCAGCCATTGACATTCAACATTCCCCTCTCTGATGTACAAACAGCTTCTATTTTCTAGCTAAGAATTATTACTTTCTCTTTACTGCCATCACACTCACCCTTTCTCGGCTTTCTTCCCATGACATCCACCACTTCACAAGTGTTAGTGTTATGAAAACAAAGATGTGTTGGGATACAGCTGCTGAAAGATTTGCTAGACTTGCTCACTAGCTAAGAACAATCATCTCAGACTTCCAGGGTTTAAAGTTTATGTCCTCTGACAAATAACAAATTACTATAAGCTTTTAGACTTGGGATCTGTCTTGAATATGGAACACCAAGTATCTACTGTTTTATTTTCCACTTTTACTCATATTAACTCAGTTTTATCAAAAACTACAGAGAAAAAAAAATAGAATAAAAGACCATTTCTGGATGCCATGCTTCAAAATTCTTAGAAGAACAGTTGCAGCTCTGACTTTATGTAATCACTCTGATCCTCAGAGTGTTACAATCAAGAGAAATGTTAAACTTATTGTAACTGTCATCACCTAGCAGATAGATTTCAGCAGATGATTGTGGATCTAAATTGTCAATTGTTTTTGCAGCTATATATATTATCAAGTGTGTTGGCATTTGTAAAGCTTTCTAAAAGTATTCCACCAAATTTCGATAGCACTTCAAATTTGCATTATTCCATTAACTCTAAGGAATTGAAAAGTATTTGTGAGTTGGTTATCAAGCAGAAGGATATATAAAATAACCATTTTGTTTATTGTGATTTTAGAAATGAAAAGCCTTACCTAAGATATGATATTTGTCCAAAATCTATGTAAAATTTGTTTTGAAATACCTTTCAAAAATGTTCTTTTAAAAAAAGTAGATAAGTAAGAATATTTATTAAACAGCAGGTCTGAATTATTCCAAAGTAAAGCTTGCATGTCCTTTTTAATAGGCCACATTTAAGGGATGGATGGATATAATGTATGCAGCAGTTGATTCCAGAAATGTAAGTATTTCTTGTATCCTGCCTTTTCATAGTATTGGTTAAGTACTAAAATTAACTCAACAGAGCATAGCAGCAAAATGGGATGATTCTATGATGACTATTTTTAAAAAGGGAAAAACATGACTCAAATTAATATTCAATGATAGCTGTGCTTATCAGAAAGATCTTAATAAAATAAATTAAAACATGATTTTGACAGTTAAAGTAACATATTCCTATATTTAAAAACTGATGGATATTTTACTTTCTTTTTATCTACTAATTTTATAATCATCAGCAATAGTTTTGGTATGTAAGAGCAAATGTGAAAAAATACATGATTGCTATCAGTAGATGAAATTTATAGTTACTCTCCGTAAGTAGACAGTGTGAAAAGTTAGAGATGCTGTCCAGGCAGCCTTAGATTTCTATAATAATCCCTGTCAAATTCATTCATTTGTATGATTTTAGTATCCGTAAATTTACTGGAGCCTTTACCAATGATGTTATCACTTCAGTGGTCAACATTTCCTTTAAGTTTGTATCATCAAAGGCAAGACCTATTTTATTTGGTTTCTCCTACAATAGCCTCTTTCAGGCTTTAAGAAGAGAACTCAAATCCATGCTTATTCCAACCCTACTCTTCAAAACTTCGTAAAATTCTATGTTCTGTCAGTCTTCATCTTTCTGTTCTTTTTTAAAAATATTTTATTTATTTATTTATTCATGAGAGACACACACAGAGAGAGAAGCAGGCTCCATACAGGGAGCCTGACGTGGGACACGATCCTGGGTCTCCAGGATCAGGCCCTGGGCTAAAGGGGGGGCTAAACTGCTGAGCCACCCAGGCTGCCCCATCTTTCTGTTCTGAAGTCCAATCTGTTTTGTCTATTATCATGAAAAATAACTTCTGTCTCTGTAATTTTTAAACTGACCCAGTAAAGCTCACCTACCTTTCTTGATGTGCACTTTCCATAAGTTGCTCTAGTTTTATGTTGACTTTCTTCTGATATCTTCCAGAGTTGTGTTATTTCATTTGTTACCACAATTTTGTGTGTCTGGCTGTTTTTAATTCTGTAATCTTTAGAAGGACATGAATTTATTAGGGACCTATCTACTGTGACTCATTTACCCTTTACTATGTGATATGTGGTAGCTCACTGATAACTTACTGTAAGTACAATCTAAAGACTAAATTATCACTTGAAAATTCATGAGAAGGATATTTGGTTATATTTACCCAATCTAAAAACTTCAATGGCTATTGTAATGTTAAAGGTATGATGCTGAACATCTAAATGAATAATTCAATTCTTGTTTGCCAAATAAATTCATGCATACACAAATGGTTGTGTCTAAGCATAGTTTATGCATATTTTCTGGAATAACATTTTTCACTAATAATTTGTAAATTATTAAAATTAAGAACTTAAAAAAATTTACCAAATTTAACACTCTACTATCCTTATAGCAAGATATTACTTGTATTTATAGTAATAAAAATAGATTCTAAAGTGTTATAACAACCATATTTTTTTACATGAAAACATGTCTAAAGGCTAATTTCAGAGACTTATTAGAGGTAGGTGATTCAGAGGGAAAAAGAAAAGTACTGCTAAGTATTACTAGGCATTTTCTTTTCTATCTATTCTCATGAAAAAGTACCCATGATTTCTGGCAACAAAATGTATTATGATATTTTACGAACTCTTCTCCTTTGGTAGGTTGAACTCCAGCCTAAGTATGAGGAAAGTCTATACATGTATCTTTACTTTGTTATTTTCATCATCTTTGGGTCCTTCTTCACCTTGAACCTGTTTATTGGTGTTATCATAGATAATTTCAACCAGCAAAAAAAGAAGATAAGTATTTCTAATATTTTCTCTCCCACTAAGATAATAAAATTATTGGGAGTATTTTTTCCACTAAATGAGTACTTTGATTCAGAAGCCAAATGGGCATATATATTAAATTACATTTTGCATTCTTCTCCTCTGCCATCCACTGTCCATCTTTTTCAGGGTATTGGAAGTCAAGAACAACTGTGCTCTGTATTCCTGTACATAGCTTCACAAACCTCTCTTCTCTTTTTCTTTTCTTTTCTTTTCTTTTTTTCTCTTTTCTTTTCTTTCTTTTCTTTTCTTTTCTTTTCTTTTCTTTTCTTTTCTTTCTTTTCTTTTCTTTTTAAGCCAGGGGCCACATTTTCAATCCTTTGGAAGAAAATAATTAGGAAAAAAAAATGGAAAAGAACCCAAGCATATGCCCCTTTCCAAGGTCAATTTGTTGTTTTTATCCCTATAAATCCCCTCCTTAAAATATACTTTATAGTGAAAACCCTTAGAATGTTTGCAATAAATTAAGCATAAGATGTAAACTCCTACTGTGTTTTTCCTTCATTGGTTCCTCGTATAATTTCCACTTCCTTCTCCCTGATATTTAATCATAAACTATTAGCTCCAGTGTTGAGTCGAACAGCTCTTTATTTTATTACCATTTATAAAGCCCATTTTATCATCCTAATTATATATGCACATTCTAGAATATATGAAAAGTAAAGAAACATCATTACTTGGAAATAATCACTATTCACATTTTATGCTTTTCTCTTCATACTTTTTCTACTTATGTTTTTGGTATCAAAATTATTTTATCTATGTTTATAAATTCTCAGGGCACCTGAGTGGCTCAGTCATTTGGGCCTCTGACTCTTGATTTGAGCTCAGATCTTGATCTCAGGGTCATGAGTTCAAGCCCAGCGTTGGGCTTGGTGTTGGGCCCATGCTGGGTTTGGAGCCTACTTTAAAAAAAAGAAAAAAAAATGAGGTCTTACATATAATTATAAATTCTCTTTTTGAATTAACATAAATATTTTTCCATTCTGTAAAGTCTTTGTATATACATTATCATAATATACTTAACCATTTCCCAACAAATTGATTATTTATGTTGTTTCTAATTATAATGCTTTAAATAGTGCCTTGTCAAAAGTCTTCATGTAAATAAAAAAAAGTAATTATTTTCCTAAGACTAATTTCTAAAGTATTTTTCTTCCTCCAAATAATATGCCTGCTCATACTCCTAAAACAGTGTATGGATGTTCCCAGGTCACTGCTGTTTCACTGGCATCAAACATTCTAATTTTTAATACTTCATATTTGATAAATGAAAATTGTTTTTAATTTTAATTTTTAGGTCTTTTATTACTAGAGGTATAAACATGTTTTTGAGTGCTTTTTCTCATTTATATTTCTTCTTTTGTTTATATTCCTTCACCTTTTTTATTCAGTATATTTTCTTTTTTTTTATTCAGTGTATTTTCTTATTATGAGTGCTTCCATTGTATGAGATGCCTATAGAACATTCTTTTCTTCATCCCCTTTTATTGTTAATATTCTATGGTCAATGTAAGGCTTTTATTTCACTTATTAGCCTGAGTTTCAATACTCTGTACCTCCTGGCCTATCAGATTCTTGCCATACTAATGATCTCTGATGTATCCCATAACTCTTCTACCAAATTAGCCAATTTCCTTTTTCTCCTTTTGTTCCAATTCTTGGCAAAGTGAAAGTGGCTTTTTGTGAGTAACTTTAACCCATCTTACAATATACATACTATAATGCATTGCTACATTGGAATAAGAAAATCATTGTCTTTAATTTCTGAAAAGCAGTATATAGCATTAGAAACTGAGTATTTCCTGTCTCAGTGAATAGAATTTTACCACTCTTTAAGTATATGATGTTGGATAAAATACTTAGCCTCTCGGTTTCTGGGTTTTTTTCTAATGGAAAATAATAAAGTCGGTTTTGTATAATGAGAGAATTAAATAATATTTGTAGTACCTAAAAAATACATTTCTTGTTTTTCAAATTCAAAGTCCTAGGCGTAATTATATTATCCATTTTCTTTTTTAATTATCCTTTACCTCTTTTAAGTTTAACATTGAAAAATTATGTGCAAAGGGACATAATTTTAACCAGTTTTTCTTTTTCTTTTCTATACTTTGGAGGTCAAGACATCTTCATGACAGAAGAACAGAAGAAATACTATAATGCCATGAAAAAATTAGGATCGAAAAAGCCACAAAAGCCTATACCACGACCAGGAGTAAGAAATACCAAATGATAAGGGAAAAATAAAATTAAAAAAATTGCATGGGTTTTCTCACAGGAGAGATAGCAGCTGACATTTCCAGCAGCAAAGATTTCTTCCACATTTAGAGCTTCATTAATTTATACCTTTTATAGTAATGGTAAAAAAAAATTTTTTTAAAGGGAAAGACCACCAAAATAAAGAAAACCGAAAATGCACCCTATTTTCAGGGGATTTCTAACTACACAACTAGACTCCAAACTAAAAGGCAGAGACACATAAGTAGGTGATATGCACAAGAAAAAGTTGGTCATACAATTCAAGAGTAGTTGCCAAGTAAACGTAAAGAGATGGGGTTAAAATACATGCAATTTTCTACTAGATTAACAGACTGACAAAATGTTGAGTGAAGTAACATCTTACTTCCACTTTATTTTCCATTAGAGGTACTGAATGTAGAACAAAAGAATTCTAGTATCTACTGTTTGTATATATGGCTGTGAAGATAGAAGTTACTAATGTCTTCAGAGTCAGGGTCAATAAATACAATTCATGTTGATAAATAACAATTCTTATGTTTCCATGATGAACTGACCAAACAACTCCTGTGAAATGGAGAAGGCTTATCCCATACTATATTGATTTTTGTCATGATGATCTATGAAGTTAAAATAATTCATGGAGTCCATTAGGGAGCAAAATACTAGTTAACATTCATATTGCGCTAGCCAAGAGTTGCCTTCTTGAAAATGATGAGAAATACATACTGTTCTCTGTTAAACCTTAACACTGGAAGTAGAAATGGGTCAACTATGTGTTGAAAAAATGTAAGATAGAAGATATCCTCAGAGTTCCTGAGCAGCCTTGGAAAATGAGCCAGACAATGGCCTGCAGTGACTAAAAGTGGCAGAAATGGGGAGCAAAACCACAGATCAGTGATAGAGACATTAATTTTTTACATCAAAGCATAAGGAATATCATTCTGGTCTGATTATTCCTGTGTAGCCTCAGCATTCTGTGCCAAGCAGCAAGGACTATTCAAAGAACATCAATATTGCCACACATAGGCTTTAAATACATAATGTTATAGATATGTTCTTGAAGTTCCAAGCTCCCTTTAAGAAGTCTTTGAGAGTAAGACAAATGGAATGTAATAGACACTATGTTTTGAAATGGCTGCATGGTCCAACTGATCATGGGATATTCTGGTAAAACAAAATTAAGCAGGTTTTCTAACTTCTCATAATCTTAATATGTTAATATGCATTTTGTGCCTCTGAGTGAAGTATACAGCATGCAATGTTTCTTTTCAGAAATCCCCTTTGGACAGAGATTGCTATTCTGTGGAATACATATTGATAAATAGAAATTTCAATAACTAAATTTTAAAAATTAATGTGTAAGCCATCTTTTACAAAATTCAGGGTCAGTGGTTACTATGCATAGTATTAGAGAGTTAATGTAGAAAATGCTTATGTAGATGCCAACATGTATAGGAAAACTCCTCTGTTGCTAAAACCATTTCTGTTTCCCTACAGAACAAATTTCAAGGAATGGTCTTTGACTTTGTAACCAGACAAGTTTTTGACATAAGCATCATGATTCTCATCTGTCTCAACATGGTCACAATGATGGTAGAAACAGATGACCAGAGTGAATATGTGACTAACATTTTGTCACGCATCAACCTGGTGTTCATTGTGTTGTTCACTGGAGAGTGTGTGCTGAAGCTCATCTCCCTCCGCCATTATTATTTTACCATAGGCTGGAATATTTTTGATTTTGTGGTTGTCATTCTCTCCATTGTAGGTAAGTATTTAAAATCTCTTAAGTTCTGTTCAGGAAAAGTAAAAGTTGGAACATTCAAGTTTAAATTAGAAGTCATCCCACTACTCACAAATAGCCACTCTGAAATCTTTTTTTTTTTTTTTTTTTTTTGTATTTCATCCCTGTGTGTTTGTCTTCTTACAAAATGAGGCTCCTGATATATGTAGAGTATTGTATCCTAACCATTTTTTAGCCATTTTAGATTATGGTGAATCTAAGGGTAAATTCTCATTCATTTGAACTAGGCATGTGCTACTAACCAAGATAAAAATATTTGTGACATGTCAAGATTGAGTAATCTGCATAACATCTAAATGGCTCTGTTGAGAAGAGAACTAGAAATTCATTGTGATACTCGGGAGAGACACTACATCAGAGATATAGACACAGAGCCATTAGCATGTAGATAGGAGTGGAAGCTAGTGGCAAGATAAAGAAAGGAATAAAGTGAAAAGAAAATAAAGTACAATATGTTACCAAATACAGATGGTAGTATTTTAAGGGTATCAGGTAGAGATTTTACAGATAACCTTGAAATGGGGTTATAGTAATGATACACAAAAAGATGTGAGGTGGTGTGGGGCATCATTTTAACAGTTATACACTTCAAAGTCTGGAATATACAACACATCGCATGAGCAATAGCTCATCTCATTAAAGATACAACTCTAGCTCCAGGGAAGTGAAGAAGTCTATCTGTGGGCTGAAATTATTCATTCTTTCTTAAACCAGATAATATGATTAGGTCAACATTTTACCATTCAATATGGGGCACCTCTGCTGGGTAGCTTTTCATGCCATCACTCCCTCTGAAGAAGTTGGTCTTATCTCTAACCCATAGGTTGCAAGTAGCCTTCAATTTCTACACTGATCTATGGTGTAATCAGTTGTGGCAAGAGTACTAAGGTTGTATTCACCTCTCTTCTCTTTCACTCTATTTTCCTCTTTCTCTCCCTCTCTCACACACCCACACATAGTGAGACTAACTCTCCCTTTATTGAATGAGACCATGTAACTGGGAACACTTAGTTTCCTGAACTCTTCAGTCCAATCTTTATTTCATTATTTAAAAGGCAAATGGAGAAGAAGTCTTGCAAAAAAGGAAAAAAAAAAAAAACAGACTGAGAGACCAACATTAGACACAGGAGACCAGACCAGAAAGAGCTTCAGCCTGGATCCTTTGAGAAATGTACTAGAGCATATATCTCTGGATATATATATATATATATATATATATATATATATATATATATATATGTCTATATAATATATAAGAATGTTATAGTGGAAGTATAGGCAAGCATCAAGTTCATGGAAGAGGAAAATAGTATTAAAAATTGCAGATACTTTTAGATGGATAAGGACTCAACAGACAATTTCAGAAAAAAAAATTCTGTTCATATAAATGTGTACTGGTACCCTTGGCCACTGCTGTTCAGACAGACTTGATAATTTTTTACTTATTTTTTTTAGATCTAGTCTTGGGATTTTATATAAGCTAAAGATAGTTTTCAGACATCCCGCAAGACAAAAAGTACTATAATATTGTTATTGACTATTGTCTGAGCTTGGAGTGCCATAACAAATTATCACAGACTGGGTGGTTTAAATAACTAAAATTTACTTTCTCACAGTTCTAGAGGCTAGATGTCCAAGATCAAACCCAGCATAGTGGGTTTCTGGTGAGAGCTCTCTTCATGGCTGGTATATGGCTACCTTCTCTCTGTGTCATATGGCAGAGAAAGAGGAAGTTCTCCAGTGTTTCTTCTCATAAGGGAATTAATCCTATCATGAGAGCCTCACCCTTATGACCTCATCTAAACCTAATTATCTCCTCAAAACCCTATCTCAAAATACAGGCACTGGAGAGTTAGAGCTTTAACATATGAATGGGGGGGTGGGCAGGGAGGAGGAAGGGACACAATTTAGTCTATAACAAATATTGAGTTGAATTTAATACTGAATGTCAAAATTAAGGTTTACTTATATATATTATATACAGTCACATGTAATCTATGTATGTCAAAGTTAAGATTATGTAACTAAATTTCAGGCTCTAAACTTTACTTTGGAGATTTAACAGGAGTGTAATGATTATTTTAATGGATAACTTCTTCAATGGTTGGTATTCTCATTTTTTATCACAGGCATGTTTCTCGCTGAGCTGATAGAAAAATACTTTGTGTCCCCCACCCTGTTCCGAGTGATCCGGCTCGCCAGGATCGGTCGAATCTTGCGTCTGATCAAAGGGGCCAAGGGGATCCGCACACTGCTCTTTGCTCTGATGATGTCCCTCCCTGCCTTGTTTAACATCGGCCTCCTGCTCTTCCTGGTCATGTTCATCTACGCCATCTTTGGAATGTCCAACTTTGCCTATGTCAAGAGGGAAGTTGGAATTGATGACATGTTCAACTTTGAGACCTTTGGCAACAGCATGATCTGCTTGTTCCAAATTACCACCTCGGCTGGCTGGGATGGATTGCTAGCACCTATTCTCAACAGTAAACCACCCGATTGTGATCCTAATAAAGTTAATCCTGGAAGCTCAGTTAAGGGAGACTGTGGGAACCCCTCTGTGGGGATTTTCTTTTTTGTCAGTTACATCATCATCTCCTTTCTGGTTGTGGTGAACATGTACATCGCTGTCATCCTGGAGAACTTCAGTGTTGCTACTGAGGAGAGTGCAGAGCCCCTGAGCGAGGATGACTTTGAGATGTTCTATGAGGTTTGGGAGAAGTTTGATCCTGATGCCACCCAGTTCATGGAATTTGAAAAACTGTCTCAGTTTGCAGCTGCTCTTGAACCCCCACTCAATTTGCCACAACCGAACAAACTCCAGCTCATTGCCATGGACCTGCCCATGGTCAGTGGGGACCGGATCCACTGTCTTGACATCTTATTTGCTTTTACAAAGCGGGTCCTGGGAGAGAGCGGGGAGATGGATGCCCTCCGAATACAGATGGAGGAGCGATTCATGGCTTCCAACCCATCAAAGGTCTCTTATCAGCCAATAACTACGACTTTAAAACGGAAACAAGAGGAGGTGTCTGCTGTGATCATTCAGCGTGCTTACAGGCGCCACCTTTTGAAGCGAACTGTAAAACAAGCTTCGTTTACGTATAATAAAAATAAAATCAAAGGTGGGGCTAATCTTCTTGTAAAAGAAGACATGATAATTGACAGAATCAATGAAAACTCGATTACGGAAAAAACCGAACTGACCATGTCCACCGCAGCTTGTCCACCTTCCTACGATCGGGTAACAAAGCCAATTGTGGAAAAACATGAGCAAGAAGGCAAAGATGAAAAAGCCAAAGGGAAATAAAGTGCAAATAAATAGGCATGTTGAGGTGACACATTGTTTACAGCCTGTGAAGGTGATGTATTTTTGTCCACAGGACTCCTTTCGGAGGTCAATGCCAAACTGACTGTTTTTACACAAATCTACTTAAGGTCAGTGCCTACAATAAGACAGTGACCCCTTGTCAGAAAACTGTGACTCTGGGTAAAGGGGAGACGACCTCGACAGGAGGTTACTGTTCTCACTACCAGCTGACACTGCTGAAGACAAGAGATCAAATGGCTACTCGGACTGGAGGGACCAGTTCAAAGGGGTGCAAACCTATAATTTGGGGGTTAACATGAAACACTTTAGTGTAGTAATTGTATCCACTCTTTGCATCTCAACTGCCACATTTGTCACATTTTTACGAAATCTGTTAGGGGATTCATCTTTTTTTTAATCCATGTGTTGTTTATTATACGTGACTATTTTTGTAAATGGGGTTTCTGTCGTGAAATAGACAAAGGGCCTCTTCAACGGGTATGCCCCCAGGGGTGAGCGCAATCACGTGGCCTCCCATCTGCACAAAGGTGTGGTTTGCATGAGGGCATGCTGCACTTAGAGATCATGCATGAAAAAAAAAAGTCACAAGGAATACAATGAGTTCTTAAATTCCATCCATGTTTCTGGGAGGGGTAATTGGGTGATAATTGGAGGTGCTTTGCAGATCTTGTTTTTGTCAAATCCAGCTCCCCGACCAAGTAGATCATTTCTGGGGGGGTTGGCCATTAAACCTTAGCAGGTGCAAACTTCATTCAACTGTCTGGAGTCATAAATGTTGTGTTTCTGTTTATTGTATTTAAAAACAAACAACAACTGAGAAATGAGCATCGCTTCTCCTCTGAAGACTGAATTGACCAAAAGAACCCTTTATAAATTTCTGCTTAATCCTGCACTTTGGTTGGCCATCTTCAGCTCAGCAAGGTTGACAACCGTATATGTTAATGAAATGCTATTTATTATGTAAATAGTCATTTTACCCTGTGGTGCACGTTTGGGCAAACAAATAATGACCTAAGCACAGTATTTATTGCATCAAATACGTACCACAAGAAATGTAGAGTGCAAGCTTTACACAGGTAATATAATGTATTCTGTACCATTAGAGATAGTTTGGATGCTCTCAATGCATGTCTATATTACCATGCTGCTGTATCTGGTTTCTCCCATTGCTCAGAATCTCATTTATGGGAAACCATATGTCAGTGGTAAAGTCAAGGAAATTGTTCAACAGATCTCATTTCTTTAAGTCATTAAGCAATAGTTTGCAGCACTTTAACAGCTTTTTGGTTATTTTTAAATTTTAAGTGGATAACATATGGTGTATAGCCAGACTGTACAGACATGTTTAAAAAACAAACAAACAACAAACACTGCTTAACCTGTTAAAAATGTGTTTAGAATTTTATAAGCAAATATAAATACTGTAAAAAGTCATTTTATTTTATTTTTCAGCATTATGTACATAAATATGAAGAGGGAATTATCTTCGGGTTGATATCACGATCACTTTTCTTACTTTCTGTCCATAGTACTTTTTCATGGAAGACATTTGCTAACTAAGAAATGAAAACAAGACTGGGTAGTTGTAGATTTCTGCTTTTTTTTTAAATTACATCTGCTAATTCTAGGTTATCTCATAATTTTAAGGGGCAAAATAGTTTCACAAGTCACTTCCAGACTATGCTCTGCAATTGGCAAAGGGCATAAAATTTTACTTACATTTTTGGTAGTGCCTGCACAAGCTGATTGAAGATAATGCTTATTTTTCATTTTTGTCGTTTTTCTTTCTAACTTGTTTTTATTTTCATTTCTTTGCAGTCATGTTGCTCTAGATTGCTGTAAATACAAAGCGAGTTTCGCAGGGTTTTTTTTTCTTTTTTCCCACAAGAACAGAGTAGTGAACTCACATAGACAATTACATCAGGATATTTTGTGTTTCTTACAGAAGCAAACCATAGGCTCTTCTTTTTCTTAAAATTACTTAGATAACCTGTATCCGTGAACTGCATGCTGGAAAATGCTATTACCCTAAATGATGCTAACCAACATTAAAAATGTGCAAAACTAATAAAGATTACATTTTTTATTTTATTGTTTGCCCCGTTACTTTTTGTTAAGAGCATTTTGTGAGAAGATGAAGATGCTTTATTCGACAAATGAGTGGAGAAGGGGAAGTATACGGCTATACCTGGCTATGGCTATACCTGAGCTGACAGTAGAAAACGTGGGGTAGAAATGGAACTAGGAGGAACGACCTCCCAGGGGCTACAAGCAGTAGGGGGTGAGCTCTGCTACCAGATACTGATACCAGAGCCTAAGCTGGTGGGTCTCGGTGGAAAAGAGGTATGGGAGTCAGAGCAATGGTGGATGGCCGTTGGAGATACAAAAAGCCCTTACATCTGTATTTAGAAAATTAAAAATTGCCTTGCGGATATTTTGTTTGTTCCTCTAAAACCACTCTCCATACTTCTCCATCCTGCTCTGTGGCTGGGTGATTTTATGCATTGCATCAGTGGGCTCTCTTATCCCCTGGCTTCCACCTGGGAAGTGCCAACAGGGAAGCATCATCAAAGAAAGCATCAGTGGGAGAGAGTGAACTTATTCCCCAGATCCTTCTTTGCTGAATTGCTCTCAGTTGGCAGTGGCGCATTCAGCAACATAAAGCTATACTTTTGGACAGACAGTCCATTCCACAGCAAGAGCTACTTGGGGGTGTCGTCATCACTCCCCTACTGGTTCCCTTAGACCTGTGGCTGGTCTTCCCTGTTTCTTGTAGCTTTCCCCTCATCTTGCTGACACCCTTTCAAACGGCCTCTTCATCTGTTTGTTTCATTTGTCTCCTGTCTGGATCAGACAGTAATTAAATAGCTTACAGAAGGGGACAAATGGCAGAGTTGATTTAAGTCACCTTGGAAATTCAATCTAACTGGCTATGGTAGATAAAGGAATAAGAACTGAGGGGATTACAATAAAGAATTCTATTCCTAGAAATCACAGAAATGTTACCAGAGTGGTCCCAACAGTAAGAGCAACAGCCTAAAAAACATCTAAATTGACGAGGAAAGAGAAGTCTTCCCTGGTCATCAAGGTAGTACAATCTCAGTTGCAATGCTTAAAGGGGGAACACAGGTCGATGGAGAAAGGAACAGTCATTTACAATGCTTCTCCTGTCCTTCCACACTTGCTGACTTGTCTCGTCATCGTATCACGACAGTTAGTTCTGATTTATTTAGTAGCTAAAAATAATTTCCTGTTTCCAACCAACACAGTAAGGATTATAGGAGAATCTCTTTTCCTATAGAGTTAGTTCCTATTGAGTTATTTTTTTTGTTTCCTATTGAGATTTTTTTTTTATACTTCATATCCACACCACAATTAGTGGTATTTTTCCAAATACATAAAGAACTGGTGAAATATAATTGTAAATTACAAAATTCCTTTTGGTATTACTTTATGTAATATTTGTTGTGCCAAAAAGTAATACAATGCTTAAGGAATAATAAGTCATATCAGTGGAACAAAAATAACAGCTTGAAGGGGGTTCCCACTGGCCAAAACTGGGGGGAATTTGAGAATCAAAATAAATATCAAAAGTAGTAGATTAAAACCCATTAAATAAAAATAAGAATCCACAAATATATACTGATATAAATAAATGGAAAAAAGTAAAACCCTTACAGGTGAAAGTTAACTAACAAGGATAGGAGAAATACTGGAATTAGAAAGTCACCATTTGGCAACTGTGATAATGACAACTTATTCATGCAAGAATAACGCATGCAAACTCATGAATGAAAGTTTGATGGGGAATAAGAAAATTATGTTGTCTCAAAGTATCTCTTTTTTATTAGTTAAAAAAATTAAGAAGAATTTACAATGGAGAAACCTTGCAGATACTGCCTTCAAAGACATCAACTATAGGGCCAACTACACTGAAAAAGATACATTATTTCTTAGTATTCACAAATTAGGAATTTAACCATAAGGAAAATCAAACTGAGGACATTCTGTAAAATAACTGAATTGAACTCTTCAAAATGTTTAGGTCATGAAAAACAAAGAAAGGTCAGGAACTGCCTGAGATGGAAGAGCTATGAAAACTAAACACAATCTGTGATTCTGTGTTGGATATTAGACTGGGAAAATAACATTGATTAAAGATATTGTTGGGAAAACTAAGTTTGAATATGGACTGCTGTTTAATTAGTAGTATGCAAGCTGAGTTTTCTCATTAAGTCTAATGTAGCTATTACATAATTATAAGTAATGTCCTTCTTGGATAAATGCACACTAAGCTATTTAGGGGTGAATGAGATGATGTCTGCAATTCACTATCAAAAGAAAATGTGTTCAAAGGAAAATGAATTATGTGTATATATACATATATATAATATAATATACATGTATATTTTTGGGAAGGGTGTTTTTTGTTCCGATTGAGTTATTGAAGTGTCTATGTATGTGTGTTCACTCTGTCATTTGTTTTTTGCGTCCTAGAATTGACTATTTCTACCCTCAAAATTAGATATACTATCTCTAACTACTTCAAAGAATGCTATGTTTTAGCTACAATTCTTTTTCCTATAAGTCATCTTTCTCAAGTCATTTAAATGATTATATTTCTTGCCCTTTATGATAATCCTTACATTGTCAAAAAAAGAAGACTTTAAAAGAAATATGTGACCTAATGGTTAAGACATCTGTATTTGAAATTAGACCTAAATTGGAGCTTTATGATCTAAACTCTGGATTTTATCCATACCATAAAAGAAGGTGGCTTATTGGCTATCTGAGCTGGGGCCCAGACATTATAGGTATAAACTAATAACCCAAACACAGTTCCACAGACCATCACCCCCATGACAAGGTTTTCATATGCCTATAGTTAAGCCAAGAAATTAAATGTCATAAATATTTATAAAGCTTAATGTATTCTATTTAATAATTTCATTGCAAAAGTGTATCTTTTATATTATTTTCAAAGACTAAAATCATTTTTATGTTAAAATGTTTTTCTTAGAAATTATGGTGAGCCTGGGTGGCTCTGTTGGTTGGTCTCTGACTCTTGATTTTGGTTCAGGTCATGATCTCAGGGTCATAGGCTGGAGCCCTGCTGCAGGCATTGCGCTAAGCATTCTCTCTCTCTCTCTCTCTCTGTCTCTCCTTCTGCCCCTCCCTCTGCTTACTCACACAAGTGCTCCCTCTCTTAAATAAATAGATAGATGATAGATAGATAGATAGATAGATAGATAGATAGATGATGATAGATAGATGATAGATAGATAAAATCTTTAAAAAAAGAAATTATGATGAGAATAAATAGTAGTGGGTTGTTTTAATATTTTCTTTGGCCAGATTAAAAATCGGCAACTTTGTGGTGGTCCTCGCATTTGTATTTTACTGGTACATGAATTCAAAAGTCTAGGAACCATTGGGGTAGACAAATACTACTCAACCTCATAAATTTGTATATTCGTATGTGTGCACCAGAAAGTTAGATGAGAACTATATAAACTGTTTTAAAGACAGCAAATATGTCCTGTAATTGCCTGTTCTACTGGAATTTCATATTATTATAAGAAAATAAATGTTTCTCAATCATTACAAATTTATTAAAATGTTTATAATAAAAAAAATTATTGCTTCAATCAGGTGCAGCTGATAGTACCTCTTGGTACATGGGAATACTCTTCGAAGTTATCAATGAACATTGATTCAATCAGTGTGGCAGTATAGGCCCTGGAGGAGAAAAATATTTCAAACAATCGAGTGTTGCTAGAGAAGTTGCATCACCAAGAAATGCTTACCATCACAGCTGAGTAATCTGCAATGCCAACTGTGTTGCTCAAGTGCTTTCTCATCCCCTCAGAAAACTCCTCATATATTTGCAGATAGCTCCGCCTCTTACTGACCAAGAAACGCAAGGACATTGTCATGAACTTCCTCAAATTCTTTCCTCTCCAGTGAAAAATATCCCTTCCTTCCCATCTCGTCTCTTCCATTTCCTTTTCCTGTCTCCCCTTTTCCTGTCTCCCCTTCCATTTCCTTCTCTGCTCCTTGTCTTTGTTTTCCTTCCTTTCTCCTTCCTCTCTCTCCCTGCCTATTCCTTCATCTGTCCAGAAATAATTTCTCCCAATTCACTTTTACAGGCTCTGATACCATGCTCCATAAGCTATTTACTTTCTTTTGTATCTTTATTCTCTCTTCTTGACTGATCCTTTCTGTCTGGCTTTGCGCTTTCAAAATTGGTTCTTCCAATCTTGAAAACTAATTTTGCTCAACTTTGATGCTTTATGCACTGTCCCATTATCTCATTCTTTTTTAAAAATTACCTTCTGAAATCAGTATTCTCTACTGACTACCTTCACTCTTGGCTAAAATTACATAAAATATAGATCCCAGTGATGTTGATGAGAAAACTTGACTGTGAATATTCTTGTTGGGGGCACCTGGCTGGCTCAGTTAGTAGAGCATGTGATTCTTGATCTCAGAGTTGTAAATTTGAACCTCATGTTGGATACAGAGATTACTTTTAAGAAAATCTTGTTGACATAAGCACATTGAATTTTCAAAGTGCTATACTGGCTTTTATCAATAAAGTTATGAGGAAAAGATGAAAAACCTTACAAAAGGTAGTTATAGGCACAAAGAACATCACCCACATGGAGCAAAGCTGTACAGGCTCTGTTTCTGGTTATCATGAACTACATCTTCTCTATTTAATGTTTACTTAGAAGGGAAATGTATTCACAGAGCTATTCAACTGTTAACTGCATTTTGTTTGTTTTGTTTCCCAGGAATATAACCTTTATAAGGCATGGAGACCAAAAAGTTATTTTGTATTTTCCAAGTTTTTATTTAAATTCCAGTTAGTTTACATACAGAATAATAGTAGTTTCAGGTGTAGAATTTATTTTTATTTTTTTTAATTTTTATTTATTTATGATAGTCACACACACAGAGAGAGAGAGGCAGAGACACAGGCAGAGGGAGAAGCAGGCTCCATGCACCGGGAGCCCGACGTGGAATTCGATCCCGGGTCTCCA